AAAAAGAAAACGATTAATCGATTATTAAATTAGTCATCGATTATTTTAATAACCGATTAGTCGTCGATTAATCGATTAATCGTGGCAGCCCTACTTAAATGTTTGCATTTATGCATTTTGTCACTCAGAGGGAAGCTTGAAGTATTTCACCAATCAAATTGAGCCCTTCATGTATTTGGTCATTTGGATACATGTCTTCATATTTTCAAAAAATTCATGCCGGAATGGAAAGGTTTATTTATTTTTTTTTTTTGCAACAGAACAGAAAGACATCAACACTACATACAGTACAAACTGTCATATCGTCATTGCAATATTACGCACTGTTATCACAGGTTTTCCTAATATTGTGCAGCCCTACTGCCGTTCAGTATTTTTGGAGCCAGAACCTGTGTACTAGGGTTGCCACAAACGATTATTTTTATAGTCAACTAATCACCATTTTTTTTTTCGATTAGTTGACTAATCGGATCATACGTTAGTTGGACATAAAACATACAGCTAATTGTGCCAGAATGTAGCTGGTATTATATAACCATCGTTAGATTTTAGCTACATGCTAACTAAAAATAATTGCTGTGGGAGGGAAGTTCTGCCTTTCAGATATTGCACAGGTTTCTCTTTCATTTTCTTAAGATGATTCCACACTTTGAGCTCCATTACCGGGTAGCCATGATACTAGAGCCTGTCTGTATAATGTCTTGTGACGTCTACGGCCCACTACTGTGCATGAGTGTCAAGGATAGAAAGGCAGATGCTGCAGTGAAAGGTGTCAGCAGTTTTGAGATAAAAACAAATAAAAAAACAACTAATCAACTATTAAATTAGTCATCGACTATTTTATTAGTCGATTAGTCATCGACTAGTCGACTAGTCATGGCAGCCCTAACTAGCAACATGGAGCTGTTCCATCGACGCATAGGCCTTTCACAATAACATATTTTGATGGATGATACATAGTCTCAGAAATTATTGCAATAAACGACAATATCGTTTGAAGACCATTTTAAACTACTATAATGATATCGCCACTGTTTACAAGCATACAAGCTGTAAAATCACTTCCCACCTCCTAGGGCTGAGCAATATGGCT